AGAGTATTCAAAGTGTAGTAATAAGTATAAGAAATTTTGAGAGAAGGTAGTAGAGTGTTAATAGGGTGGACATAGGCTAGCTAGTAGCCCCCGACCACTCTATTCACATCTCAGAACCTTCAGGTCAAAATACGCCGCGAAGTGTCTAGGGCCCAGTATAAAGGGTGAATAAGTTCGCGGGACATCGGCGGGTCCTTATATACCTTTGGTACCCCCTCCCCAAAATCATTAGCAAAATTGTCGGTTAGGTCAGGCGGGAAATTTTCGCGGGAAATTTTCGCGGGAGATTTCCATTATCGTAACACGGTATAATTTATTAATTTTCACAATTTTGTTATAAATTTATACTTCCGACAATTTGTTATAACATTGCATATAACAATTTATACGTTTTTACAATATTCTTCAATGGAAACGTAGGTTTTAGCGTTCTCCTTACTTACTCGTGGTTAAATTAACCGCGGGAAATTTCTGTTCTTAATTTATTACTTGCAACAATCTATTATAACGCTACATAGAATCATTTATACGTTTCTATAACTTTATTAAATGGATAACTACGTTTCAATTTCCTCGTTACTTACTGGTGGTTTAATTAATTTGCTAAGGATTAAAAATCAGGTTGACCTGTGGTCGTAGATTAAAAATAACCATAGTACAGCTAAATTTATCGTGTTAAATAATTCTTTTTACACGAATGAAAAATGTATTCATCGTTTGTTTGTTATAATATCGTGAAATGTATTATATTACACATTTTCTCTATTCACACTGAATTTAAAGATTATAACGATTAAAAATCAAGTTGACCTGTGGTCCTTTATCAAGAATAATCATAATAAAGCTAAAATTAGTGTGTTAAATAATTTTTTTAATACGAATTAGGAATTTATTCAACGTTTGCTTGTTACAATACCAAGAAATAAATTATATTATACGTTTTCTATATTCACACTAAATTTATCGTTCTATTTACATGTCATAACAATTATAACTACACGTTATGCTGCGTCTGTTTGTTTTTTCTGTGCAGTTCAACCTAATTTACTTAAATTTACGTTGCGAGACAGTTGCGAGACAATATTTACAATTCTGCCTGAATTTTTGAAATTCAGAAAAACACAGGTAAACTTCTATTGCATTTAAACGATATTCTCCACCAAACTGGACAAAGTACAGTAACACTTGTACTGTCACTAGTGGAATCGACCCTACATTTTACTGTCACTTGTCGAATCGACCCTACATTTTACTGACACTTGTGGAATCGAACCTACATTTTTTTTTTTTTACGTGGAGGTAGGCAGACTCTATGTGATAAACAATTGGCAACCTAACGGTGGCTCTCCCTCTACATTCGACGGATAATGTGTACAGGTATTTAATGTAATTTCTTAGCAGTTTGTTTTTGTAATTCGTCCAAAGCGATATATTTTGAAATTAAATTAATCACTCAATAAGTTTTAACATTAGACTGTTTCCTCGATATGGCCATGGTGGTCATCAGTGACTGGAGTGCCTCAAATGTTTAGAATAATTAAAATAAAATAAATGTTGTCAACTAAAAATTTTGAACGTCATAGCTAGCTAGACATTATTTTCAATTGAAAAAAAAAATTGTAAAGCATAATACTATAATCCTATGCTTAAAATGTATTTTCTTGTGGCCACCTGACAGCAACCTGTAAATCTGGCGTGACAGTGAACGTGTTAATAAGTAAATGTTGTTCAAATTATGTCGTGTTTTATGTCATTTTCATCAGAAAAATCTCACCAACATGTTAAGAAAAATTTCGGGATAAAAAAACGTAAAATTAAAAAAGTTGGTATTTACATCGCTTAGGTGCCTCGACTCTCGTTTCATCCTTATCTTTTATTCGCTGTCCTTGTCTACGTTCGGCAAACTACAAAGGCGGGCGCGATGCTCGAAAACGTAGGCCCTGAATCTCAGAGTGTCAGGTTTAGCTTCCTTGCGGTCTGACACTTGTGGAGAATATACTGTATTTTTAAGCAATACAAATAGTTGGCTTTGCCATAAATTCGTATACTTACATTTAAACAAAAATACAATTTTGAAATGATTCAGTAAAAAAAGAAATTGAAATAGTGAGCTAGTTGTACGTTCCCAAGTAATCAGTATCTCAACATGGTATGTAGTCCTTCGTCCTCAAAGGGTTAAACCACAGTCGAGATACAGAATAGCCCACTTATCCAATGTACTTTTTTATCACACGACCACGTGGTCTTACTATAATCCTACTGTATCGATTGGGACTGGTATTATATCAGTGTGCTATTAGTGGTAGGAATTGAAATCAAGAACACTTGGCATTTGTTATTTTAAATAATGAAGGAGACAATATTTCAAATGTTAGGATGAATCATAACAATGTACACACGACCCATATCGATTGTTTTGCGCGATGCAGTTCTTAAAATGGCGGTTCTTAAGCGAGTGCGCTTCAAAACCAATAGTTTTGAACGACGTCGGTATTTCAGATCGTGTGACAAAAAGTCCCATAAGATAATTGGTTTATTTTATATCACAGACGAGGTACAGGATAGACCTAGTATCTTATGAACCTTTTTCCCCGGGGCTTTGGGACCAAGAAGACCTTTACCATTTTCCTGTCGCTACCAACGTTACCGATTCAGCATAGAATAAGATTACAACATTAGCAGTGGTTGGTATTGGAATTAATCGTAACTATAAAATTACGAATAAAAAAGGAACGTAATTGTTTATTAGTAGATGCAATATGTGTATGTATCTTTATGTGCAAAAATAAAGGAGGATTTTTTGCATCTGTCGACTTTACCATCCTTGATGGTTGGATTGTATGTAATTCCTAAACTCACCGCTTTATATTGTAGAGGGCATAACAAAAACTCTGATTGTAGCGGTCGTTTCAACCGGAAGGACGCGTGACCAGGAAAGACGTCAACTCTAAAAGTTCAGTTCATTTAATAATTATATTTTCGGTATTATTGCAGCGTACATGCAACAGAACCAAATAGAAGAAGAAGTTCGCCTTCGCTTTCCGTAGTTTTTATATACTCCGTCTTAAACTTTATTTTAACTTAGATCGTGATCTCTCTTAATCTGTCTCAATTTATTATTACCAACTAGTGACTATACATCTAGGAATTTTATTGTTACACTGGTGGAGTGCCGTTACACGATTTTTTACACGGTCGATATTTCAGTACGTTGGACACAAAATACACTAGGTGCAAGGTCTATCCTGTACCTCGTCTGTGCTCCTTGAATATCCGATAAAAAGTAAAGAGGGAAATTATATTGACATACATATATCGATTATAAAACCAGTTGTGCAAATTTACAAGCTTGTACACTTATACCGTTATCCTCGATATTCCAGCATACTAAATCATCTTGAATTGTAGATTCATTCAGAACTGATTAGTTCACTTCGTCCTTAGTCTTCGACATTTTTGGAACAAATTCAGGAAATAGGTGTTCGAGTAGATTAACGTTTATGTTTCGATCAGTTTTATGCTTTTTTATTTTCACAATAATAGAAATACGAGGCAGCGTGTGGGAAAAAATTCGAAGTGGGAAAATTCATTTTTCGATAAAAGATTAAATTTCTTTAGTGTATAATGGGCATGAGATGACACCTTAAAGTAGAAAATTAAATTAAAAAATATATGTATAGTCTTCTTGTTCTAATTCATAACTGCGTCGATAATTCAATTTCTCGAGACGAAGGTAACCGATGATAATCCTCAGGGCTCAAGACACAGCAGCATACTAAACCAGAAGTGTGGCCAAATAATAATTCACAGCTTCAAAAAACGCGTCCCTGTTTCTTTTTTCTCCCTCCAGGATCGATCCACATTCTGACCGAAAATTCTGCGTCCAATTGGCATAGATTTCGCTCCTTTTACCGAGAATTCCACTTCGATGTAACCTGAAAAATCATTTTTCCATGGCTATTGGTCTCGATTTTGAAATGAGATTTCCTGTTTCGAAAAATTTGTCAAAAGTGACCTGTTCTCGACCGGTGAGATAATTTTCTATCGATACACAGGTTGTTCCAGTGAATCGTTGTATTGTTTAAACAAACGAATATCTTTGAGAGCTATTTAAATCCTATCAACCTAACGCAATTTCTAAATCCAATATTTTTCGAGATATCGAGAGAACAAATTCATCCCGAACTTGCGAGGTTCATTTTCACCTCTCGAACGTCGCGAGCCACTATGTAAAACAGAAAATACGCGTGATACATTTTTTTTTCGCGAAAACTATAGGTACATTACACGTAAGATTCGTGAAAATTAGCGGTTTCCACGTGGGGGAACTTCCTCACCGAGGCTTTCGCCTATCCGTGTTGCGCAATTTCACGACACATGTTCTGTTGGTCCAGCCTCTGTCCGGGTGGACAGTCTCTCGACGGTGCTCTTACGATGTGATGACGGTTTGACCAAGGTCTACGCCTTGGTGTAGTGGTATATTCTTCCGACGAAACACAGATCACCAATGCCATCAAGTATAGTAGCAGATACACGAAGAAGCTCTTCATGGTCTGACGAATGAACCACTTGTGAATGGGAGCTGATCTGATACTCGCAGAGATATACATACCTACCTCATTCTATGACTAATAACAGACCGGTTGTACAGCCTTTATATGTCTATTCATAGACTCATTTGATATGCACCAAGATCCTGTTTTCCCTGTGTGGGAAACTGTTTTCTTTGGAATTCTTCCTGGGCAATTTCTATCTTTTTATATCTGAATAGAATTTCGAATGCGGCAATTTTTCTTCCTTTTTTCTTCTTGCTTTCTCGTTTCAATGCTGTACACGATTTGCGACGAGTCCGTTTGAAATATCGGTATTTGCGGTGATCTTTTGTGCAGTCGCGTGACAATTATGCTTGATTATTATTTTCGACGAAGCTCTGACAGTCGTTCTTCGGTGAGTTAAAAATTGTGTCAATGCTCTTCCTTCAGAAAGTAAGCTTGAGTGTCAGTGGATGTTTTAGATTGAAGATTTCAACCGTGGTAATTCCCGCGATTATTTTCAGCGTGATTTTATAATTGCATAGATTAAGGCAACGGGAAAATGATTTTCCTATTATTAGGCTAGATTTCCTGCTGGTTTTCCAAGATAATTGGAAACTCTCGGAAGAAATTACATTTTGATTTTATATTTCTGTCTTCTGTCAGGAATGATGTCAAGATGTCAGCAGTTTCCGCTGATAATCATCGATTCCTTGGATTAAAATTACTTCCTCGTGTACCATTAATGGGTTTTCTCTATATTCGTTGATAGTTAATTCCATCCTACAGAATTTCATTCTTCAGATGTGATTAGTACCAGTCAGTTTCGTCTCTGATCATTAAATATCGCATGTTTTTAACAGGTTGTTACGTTGTCGAAGAATTGAAAAATATAAATTGTACACCGGCGAATTAATTTCACTGTGCGGCGCACAGGACTTCAAAACAGCCGCCTGACCAGGAAAAACTGTACAGTGCATAATAAAAAACTACTAATGTAACAGCCATCAACAAAGACGGCGACAAAAATTTCCATTCCGCGAGAGGAAGTGAGATGGACGACTCTCTATCCTCGTCGTCAATCAAATAATCGCGAAGCGATAGAAGCTTCTGGAACAAACTAGCTCGCGATCTGCGGTAGACTCGCGGTTTTACGCAGGAGACTCGCGGTTTTCGCGCGGGAAGCCACTTAGCGACGGTCATTAGCAACGGTCAAATATAAATTTACAAGCATTCTTGCTGTACTCTGCTGGGAGAGAACGAGGTATTACCATCGGTCGCCCTTCAGAGTGGGAGAGTACGAAGCCTAGCTTTCGGACGCCCTTACAGCACAGGAGAGTACGGGGACTGACACCTGGGTCACTCTCTGGTGGAGAGAACGGCTGGACTATCCGCCGGTCGCCTCTGAGAGAGGAGAGTACCGGGAAGTTACCCGGACGCCTGAGGAAGCTCGGAGAGGATTGCTTAGTACTTCTGGTGGTATGGAGAGAACGGCTGGACTATCCACCGGTCGCCTACCAGGAGAAGTGCGGGTGGACTCTCCGATCATACGCGTATCACTTGAATATTGTGATAGGAGAGTACGAGAGCTATACCTGGGTCGCTCCTGGAATGGAGAGAACGGCTGGACTATCCGCCGGTCGCCTTCCAGAGAGTAGAGTACAGGAGGCTCACCGGACGCCTTCCCACAGTAATTGTTATGAATCGTTTTATCCGTTTCGTTAATGTTGTAACGGGAGAGTACGGCTGCTTAAAGCTGGACTCCCGAAAGCAAAAGCAACAGGTCGAACACGGCATTGATTTGTTCGAAATTATTCTGTACCAAACATTTAACATGTATCGACGAAAGATAAATAAACTTTTGTGTGTTTTTTCCCAGATACCAAAGAAAATCCTTTCATTCCGAATATTCTATTACACTAACAATTTTAAACAGGTGCTTTATTTTCACTTTTACACTTGCAATTATGATTTACTTTGTATTTGATAGAAAAATAGTGGATTTGCAAGTAGGTAGCTTGTTCAGTTTAAAATATAGGCCATTCTAATGTCGAGTGAACTAGTTCACGTATCTCAGTTAACAATATAACGTACAGCAAATTAAAAAAAAAAGGAAAATACGAAATTCTGAATTAGGCTTTCTCGTTCCACACTTGTTCTTCTTGAAATGCACCTCTCCCTCGGTAACTGTCTCAAGATGGAGGTAACCGATGGTAATTAACAGCAGCCATGACAGTTTACAGCAGATGATAAAAATGTGTTCCAAAAAATGATCATCAACTTCAAGTAAACAATTTTTCGTGCAATAAACAGTCGATCCAGTCCTCTTATTCAGAATTGCACATTTCTCGTGGTCAACCTGGAAATCACATTTCAAGGTGTTTGTTTTAATCTTGAAACGAGATGTTTGTTATCTTTCTTCAATGTGGATATTTCATTTAATCGTGAAAAATTCAACTGCAACGACAATACTATTATATTTTTCTTAAAGGGGAGAGTCCAGCTTATCATCCCGACGAATAAGCGATATTTAACCATTCTTTTTGGCTAAACTACTAAAGTTATCGAATACTTCTTTCGTTTAACCCTCTCGCTGTTCAGTAAAATAACAAAAAGCGGTCAAAAAATGTTCGACTTTTTTTATTAGTATTGCTTCTATTTATGATAAAAATACGAAAAAAAAACATATTTTATCTGTGTTTCACTGTTATTCCTAAAGATGTTCTAATAATTAGTCCGAGTATGGTAAATTTTGAAGCACGGTATGCACAGTCCAACGTTGCATTCTTCACAATAATACCGTGTATCTTTCCTTGTTCATTTTCTTTTTTTTTTCTTTTTGTTTTTGAATGTCTTTATTTAATTGAATTCGTCTATTAAATCACTAACGATACATTCCTCCCTAAAGAAATTTACCTCAACACGAAACGAATTAAGCGATAAGACGCGACGGATAGACTAAACAAAACGGATCCCGCTCTGCCCGTACGTCGTACGGACTAAACCTATGTGATGGCGAACCTATGACACGCGTGCCAAAGGTGACACGCCAAGACATTTTGGGTGGCACGCATCGTTTACGGACGAAACCGAGCAGATCATAAATAATCATCACACAAACAACGGTGTCTATCTTCTATCAACGAGGTTCAGAATCGTTAATTCCTAGCTGAACCATAGCGAGTCCGTGATCGTGCAAGGTCGTAACGCTCGCAACAAAATGGATATTTCTAGGTGTGACATTTTCCCAATTTTGACACACCGAGCTCAAAAGGTCCGCCGTCACTGGACTAAACGTTGAGGTCGCTCTCCGCTCTGCCCGTACGTCGTACGGACTAAACAGCGAAAGGGTCAAAGAAGGAGGCATCCTTAGACTACGGTGAACAATTTTTGTGAAATGTAATGTTTAATATTGTTATTGTAAATTTTATACTTTAACCTGGCACTTTTGGCAATATACCTCTGGTTGGCTTAGCGATTTCAAAGCAACAAATTTCAAATTTTATTGTTCTTCGACAGTTTACGCTGAAATTGAACCAACTTGTAACAAAAAAAAAAAAAAAAGTTTTTCTACCAAAAAAGACAATGGTTTCATATTGTTTGTAAAATCACTATAAATAAGGATGAAATATTGATCATCGGTTCAATCCCTGAAGAAATGTACCCAAGTTGTTCGGTCGATTAAATTTCGTGTTATCCTGCACGCCAACTTGAAAAACATGTTTACCACACTTCGCTGTTTTTACGAACTCATCCTTAATATTGTAGAAGCATATTTTTCAGATGTTGTACTTTCAATTTATTCCAGAAAAAAAAGAAATCGATTTTTTGACGCTTTCAAATTGTTAACTTCCCTTCTTAACCGTTTGAGTCCCAAGCAGCGCGATCGCGCTGTTTAGATTTTGTGTCGAAAAGACCCAGTACGTTTAAACGCTATGGACAACTGACGGTGCACTCACAGTCTGTCGAAATAGCGTGCTCAACTTTTCTGACGCATGTACATCGCATCGCTCTATCGCGCTGACCGGCATTTGTCGACACAAAATAAGATAAGCGCTATCGCGCCGCTTAGCTCTTTTCGCAATCAATTAAGACAAGCGCTATTGCGTTGTTCGGCATTTTTCGATAGTGTAGTTTCAATGATCCCTGGGACTGAAACGGTTAATTCTTTCAAAAATCTAAGTCTCGTATGCAGAACACTTTGTTCTACGCGGCAGAATTTTCGACACATTTAACGATACTCACTTGCGTCGATCAATTACACGGAGTCACGACACTTGGACCTGTAATCCAGCTTCTGCCCAGGTGGACACGGCGGAGGCCGATATATAATTGACGGATATGCACCTATCATTGTTTTATTGTATTTTAGTCCCGTGTATCCACTTGTTGCAGATGTATTGCTCAATGGACCAGGAATTCCAGACGTCTTCGGTGGTTTATAGTTTTCGTTGTACGACAGTGGAGGGTCGACATTCACGGTACTGCAAGTCGCTATCAGATAGACCAACAGCAACAAACATTCGAAGAAGCTCCGCATTGTCTGGTTTCGAACGAGATAGAATCACCGTTAGATGGGAGAATGAACTGATTGATATCTGTATAGAAAGATTTTTCAGAGGCAAATTTTATCGCCCGACTAACCGGTAATCGGTTGTACTCGGCTTTATAAGTTCCTCGTGGAGCTGCTCGTTTAATCATATATGTCGAACAGTGTTAGTTCACAGCGTTAATTTATGGCAGAATGAAATTTTTAATGCCGAACTGGCTATCAGGTACCTGTTATCCTTGAGATTTTTATATTAAGATACAGGTAAGTGAATAATGAATATCCTTGGCCATGAAGGATTTCAGGATTGCTTTTTGCTTATCTTCTTTTAAACGCTGTTGTAACGAGCATTCATTTTTAGTGGGCTTTCCCATGGACATTCACCTGAGATTACGATTCACGTTTGTATGATAAATATCTTTGTAAGTAATTACGACACGATAAGGATATCGGGTAAAGTGTGAAACTGTGATTTTTCAATTTCCCGAGTAGACGGTAGAGAACTGGTAAACATTCGAACAGTTATTTTTGTTCGAACTTTTACAAATGTCATTATGATAACTTATTTCGTTGTTGGATTCCGGGCGATGGAACGTGTGCAACACTTTTTAAAATCTTAACAAGAGGTTTATTCAAGAGTCTAAACACGTTGTGAATTGTACAAAGATATGGGAAATAATGAAAGTCGGTGCTCTTAGGGTTGTTACGTTTATAGGGATTGGAAATGGACGTGGAAGGGACTAGAAAGGGGTCGAGGTAAAAGGTCTAGGAAAGTGGCAAAGGTTCTAGGTGACTAAGAACTAAACTGCAAAATATTTGGAAGAAATGAGTGCGATGCGCTGGCGTTTACCGAAGATACCAACGCGGCGGCTAGCATCCATGAGTCATGTCGGTAGGTTGGTATCCAACATCGTCTTCGATTGAAACAATTGTCGACTTCCAGATAAGTGGATTATTCAGTTTTAAATATCGGCCATTCCAGCGACGAGTCAACTAGTTTTCCTTCGGTTAACAACGTAAAATACAATGAGAAATGAAAAAAGAAGGAAATATACAACGTTGAATCGGTCTTCTTCGTTCCAAATTTCTTTTTCTTGAAAAGCACTGCTCTGTCGGTAATTCAGTTTCCCAAGATGGTGGTAACCGATGGTAATCAACAGCGGCCATGACAGTTAAAGAGAGGATAAACGGTAGTAGACTGGAAGTGTGTTCTGAAAAATGCATCGAACAACATTTTGTTATTGTAATCTAAGCATGCATCTTTCTGTAAAAAAAAGAGAAGTATCGTAGTATCTTTACTAGTTTGGTAGAAAAATTTTTTAAAGGTCGCTTACTTTTCAAACTGTCCAACTGGACTCTCTCCTTAAAATGATTATTTAGCGTCACTCACTGCTTCGATGAACCGTAAATTTCGCGACACTTGAACATGTAATCGAGCTTCTGTCCAAAAGGACACGGTGCAGGCCGAGCTACAATGGATACCAGTATATATGGAGTCTGTGAGAGTCCATGAATCGGAATCGATGGTGGTTGATTATTCTCGTTTTCCTTCTGTAGAGGGTTGTTGTCCGTTTCATTGCATATCCCTATCGTCATCAGAGGCGTCAATAGTAAGAAGCACTTAATGTAATTCCTCATTGTCCGTTCGAAGGAATAAGAATCATTGATGGACGTGAACCGGTAGATTTCTGAATAAATCGAGTCCTCGGTAACAGTTCGATTGTCAGACTGATGGTGAACAGGTTGCATAGGGTTTTATACGCTTGTTCAATCACTGTCGAGCAGTGGTTATACCAGAGCGGCCATTTATGGCAAAATAAAATTGTTAACGTGTCCTGCCTCTGAGATACTCGATATCCTTGAAATTTTTATATCAAAACACAGCCCCTAGATGGCGAGGAATCCAGAACATCTCGCTGCTTATCTTCGATTGCTATTCGTTGCTGAACAATCTTTGTACGAGAAATACCGCGTGGCGCACGCAGAGTTGGACAAATTTGATTTCGAATAAGGAATAAAATATTATATTTTATCGTTTATTTTTATTACTTGAGAAGGGTGTTAATTTTTGTTAATTTTACACTGTCCTATCTTCGCGTGGGAAACGTGATTCTTAATATTCTAGCTGTAAGACATGCGTGATTACCGCGGAGAATTTTAAAATATGAAATTCAAGTTTCATTTACATTACTCCTATTAAAATAAGGCAAATTTACGAAAGAAATTAAAAATAGATAAATTTATCGAGTATGTATAATTTTCTCTTTGCAAAACGAATCTTTTGATCTTCAAAAGTTATTCACTAATTGAATATAAATTAAAAATTGATAAATTCATAGAATATTTATAATTTTTTCTTTTCAAAAGTTATTCACTAATTGAATATACAGTGTCCCACTTATAATGGACATTTAAATTATTACCGTTGCTACTGAAAACGACGTATGTATATACACCTGTTGATAATAAAAAGAAGTCTTCAGAATGCCAGATCTTGAAGCTCGTTCCAAGGCCATCAATATTTTTTTGCATAACAATGTCCTTTTTTTTTATAATGCCACATTGTAGCCAACAACAAGAAGAGTTCAACGACCTATGACATCGTGACCTCGAAATGACTGAGAATTAAGTATGTTAATACGTAACAAAATTTCGACGATTTCGAAATGATCCTGAAGATGACCTTAAGGAGGCTTCTTTTCATCATAAACTCCTTTAGTCATGTTTTTTTACCTTCAATAGTAGTGCAAATAATTTAGTTGTCTATTATAAGTGAGACACCCTGTATACAACAATCGATGTGGGGGTCGTAGATTGCTATAATTATATGCTATTATAGTTGAATAAAATTTATTACAGACCTTTCAGTATACTTCGATACATCATGGTTTCGTTTTTTTCTATGAGCAATTGAACGGCAGTGAAATAGTTTACCCAAGTACTTTATTTTGCGTACACCTTATATTCGTTAAGAATAGTTAAGAAAAAATTGCATTTTGAATTTTACACTTCTTGCAAGTCACAACTACATCGATAATTTAGCTGCTTTAGTTGGATCCAACCGATGGTAATTCATAGTAGCCATAACAGTTTACAACAGACGATAAAACGTCGAACAAGAACCGTGACCAAAGAACAATTCTCAGCTTCAAGAAACGCACCTCCGTTTGCTTTTTCTCCCTCCAGGATCAGTCCACATTCTGACTGTTAATTCCACGGTTTCTGGAATTAGGTTATTTAGTAAATAAACACGGTTATTTAGGACACAGTTTTTATTGGTACAAAATTACGAAGTTCAATGTTCTTATTCAGTACGAGTGCTTTTTGTTCTGTTCTATCCGAGTTCTTAATTTGTTGTTCTATACGAGTTTCTACGTTGTTCTCTCCTGATGGAGGGACGCTTTCCACCGAAGTCGAGAAATGCCCCCTCCATCATCCCGGAGAATTCCCTCCAATTTTGGAAGGCACTGCAGAAAAGTGGAACCTAGGATTGTCCAATTAAAAATTGGGGTTTCCCGAATGCGCAACGCCTGCAGGCCAAGTGTTCGTCCGGTAAACAAGGCCTGCAGGACGTCGCATAAAAGGTCCTAGTTTGGAAAACCGACCCATAAATCCTAGGTCCCTCTTTTGACTGCGCGTGGCCTTACGATGCGCCAATTGCCGTTGAGGTGGTCTGGCTGGCAATCCTTCGATAGAAAGTTCTTATTGTTCTCCAGCCAGACCGAATATACATCCTTTGAAAATACTTGACTTTCTCAGAAACGGCACTGTCCTGAATCGACGCAGCGTAAGCCTGAACATACAGCCTTAGCACTGACCAAAAATTCTGCGTCCAATTGGCATAGATTCCGCTCCTTTTACCCAGAACTTCAAGCCCCAGGATGTAACCTAAAAATCATTTTCCCATGGCTATTGGTCTCGATCTTGAAATGAGATTTCTCGTTTCGAGAAACTTGTCAAAAGTAACCTGTCCTCGATTGGTGAGATAATTTTCTACCGATACACAGGTTGTTCCAGTGAATCGTTGTATTATTTAAACAGACGAATATCCTTGAGAGCTATTTAAATCCTATCCACCTAACGCAATTTCTAAATTCAATATTTTTCGAGATATCGAGAGAACAAATCTTTCATCCCGAACTTGCGAGGCTTATTTTCACCTCTCGAACGTCGCGAGTCTGTGTGTAAAACAGAAAAACTATAGGTACATTACACGTAAGATTCGTGAAAATTAACGGTTTCGACTTGGGGGAACTTCCTCACCGAGAATTCACTAATCTGTCGGTTACACCTTGTTACGGCACACCTTCTATGGACTTAGCATCTGTTTAGGTGGGCAGGGTCTCATCGGAGCTGTTACGACCTGAGTCGATATCCGTCCGTAGGTCTCTGGTGAAGCGAATTGCTGCGAGGGAGTACAAATCAGAAACACCATCAGGAATATCGATAGTGCAGGAAGGTGCTCTTCATTGTCCGGTCGAATGAATTCGATCCACTTGTAGATGTGAACTAATCAGATTCCCTTCAATGACGCGTCTCACGCTCTGACTCCTGCCCGTTCCGTTGCGCTGGCTTTATACCGTGTTCATAGGGACATGTACAGGGTGTTTCACTTATAACGAACATCGAAATTATTTCTGCTGCTGTAGAAAGTAAGAGAAGAATGTTTAAATGTAGTTTGTTATTCGAGGACACGCATGTGGCGATGATGCGAAATTATTTCTGCTGCTGTAGAAAGTAAGAGAAGAATGTTTAAATGTAGTTTGTTATTCGAGTTATTTCGAGTTTGTTATACGATAAAAAACGTATGCTCCCGAGGTCATTCCAAGGTCATCGACATTTTCTTGCGTAACAACGTGTTTCTTTTTTTTTTTATAATCCAACATCAACCTGTGCGATATGATGATGTTAAAATGATCTTGGACAGTGAGCAATAATGTCGATGACCTTGGAATGACCTTCATTCAAGATGACTTTGGGCACGACTTTTTATTTTATCATCGCTAGATGTACGTTCTCGAACAGTATAAATGCCTCTTAGTTTTTACTCCTTTAAGTTCTTTGTTAATGTGTGTCTTTAGATTTGATTAGTCCAACCCAT